ATCTAGTCCAGTTAAAGTCCAGGGGAGGAAGCCCCATCATAGTAAAGAGGATACTAATGTGATGTGTGTAGTTAGTTCTTCATAGCCTCTTCATTTTGCTCTCAAAGTGCGCGGAATTGATGGATTTTTAACAGAATGTAGAAAAAAATTCTCCCGGGGGGGCATGCCCCCGGACCCCCCTAAAGGGGCTGTGTTCCCCTTGGGGCTAAGCCCCCCTTGTTCTTGAAACCTAGTGACGCCCCTGGTTTTCGCTATGTGAATTAAACTCAAGGCGCCATTGTATTTTCAGTGTACTCAAGCGTAGAGGGGAAGCTAACGCAAACATTTTCTTCACGATATGTTCTGTGCGCCTTCACAAGTCTAAATGCTGCATTTTGATTTTGGGCCGCCTTCTGCGAGCTGAAAATGACCTCACAGTAGCCCGGGGCTCAAGTAACGACGAATCGCGGCTCAACTGTTTTCTGAAGCTGAGCCATGATTGGTCATTAGCTGAGCCCTGAGCAACTGTAATGTTATTTTGAGTCGACAGCAAGTGGCAAAATGGCCACTCCCTGAGATGGACATTTACCACTTAACTCATATTGCACATACGCATAAGCACATAGTGCTGCAGAAAATTCAGTTCGCCCAGTAGTCAACGTGTGACGGTAGTGATTGTACCTCGTGATTTTTTTTTAGAATGTTTTAAAACATGCTAGGTCGAGCAAAAAAAAAAAAAAGTGATCAGATGAATATGTAAAACATGCATCACAGAACGGGATGGGACTCAGTGTTTGATCTGCATAATTTGTCATGCCAAGTTGAGCAACTCTAGTCTCGCACCGGCACAACTGAAGGAACGCTTCTTGAATCCGATTTTTATTTTTCAGCAAGGGTTCGGTCAATGTGCATATGAACTGTTTGGGTTCGGTACCTCTCACACGGTTAAGAACCATTGGTTTCAAGTAATGGGCATATCATTCTGAAGAACATTTTAGGGTTGACTTCCCCTTTAACTCCCAGTGGAAATTTAAGTTGATGCACTTCAATTAAGGAAGTCAAGTTAGCACTGGGGCAGCCCGGTGGTCCACTGGTTAGCCCGTCAACCTCACAGTGC